AGTGGAAGATTGGAATAGTGCAAGATTGGAATAGTTAAATATTGGAATAGTGGATGATTGGAATAGTAAAATATTGGAATAGTGGAAGATTGGAATAGCAAAATATTGGAATAGTGGAAGATGGGAATAGTGGAAGATTGGAATAGTAAAAGATTGGAATAGTGGAAGATTGGAATAGTAGAACACTGGAATAGTGGAAGATTGGAATAGTAGAACACTGGAATAGTGGAACAGTGAAACAAAGGAACAGAGGAACATGAGAATAGGGCAAGAGAAGAACAGAGGAACATGATAAGGTATAAAAAGAGCTCGGACGAAATGAACAGAGGATTAAAAGTATACAAGGACAATAGAAAACGAGGAACGGTTAAACTGAGAGGAAAAATAGGAACAAATATACAAAGGAACAGAGGAATACACGGACAAAAGAACGGATGGAAAGAGAAACGTAGAAACATAAAGACAGAAGGAGGACCAGAGGATAAACCCTCACCTCTTCATAGTATCAGTAAGAGACGAAGTGGCTTAATGCTCATTGCACTGGACTCCGGGTCGAGAGGTTTCGGGTCGAGAGGTCCCGGGTCGAGAGGTCCTGGTTCGAGACCTGGCAGGTCAACGTGTAGGCTCCAGTAAAGACCTTACCTGGACCTCTCTTCATAGTATCAGTTCCTGCCTTGGCCGTGGTTTTCACGTTGGCAGTTATTGGTTTGGAAAACATTTTTGGGAGAACTTTTTCAATCAGATTTCCTTTAAAAATGTTTGGTTTAATCTTGGCAAAAATTTGCCATTCATGATACAAAGATCGAGAAAAACTTCATTAGGTTAATGAAAATATCTATCAGCCATACTCGGCATTTTGTGCGTTATTTTTTTTTCTAAAAGTCTAAAACTAACGTTGTAGTTTTTTTGCAAATAGTATGTTCTTTGTTCAGTTCCTATGGTTTCACTTTGGTGATGCAGCTCTTGTAGTGACTGGTTTTACGCCAAGAGCATGCGGTTTTCTCAGCATTTTGAATGCAGTAGGAATGACCCCATTCGCAGCTGTTGTGATCGATTCCAGAAGGCTTACCACACCCCTTTAGCTTCGGCTTCTTGTCACAAAACACAGTGTAACACGGCGAGATCTGACAGGCGCAGTTTCCTCGGTAAAACCGCCGTACCCCAAGACGCTGGCGCACAGTGATTTGAGGCCATTCTTGGTTCCAGTGACACTGATTGAGCTCTAGCTTTCTTTTCCTGACCTGGCCTGAGATGAGGTACACTTTGTTGTTATTCAGTTTGACCCCGCACAGGCTATCAAGAGTAAAGGTGTAAGCTTTGGCAAAAAGGCTTCGCTGTCTCGAGCCGTAAACATTGACGCTGTCCATCTCATGGAGTCGGTGTTCTCCTTTATATGTTTTCAGGATGCGGAGGTCGAAGATACGAGTAAAATTGTCGAGGTATTCCTCTTGAAACAAAACCTTTGCTCGGATAACTAGACATGGGAAGGAAAAATACAGATAGTAACAATGTTTTCTAGTACACCGTAACTAGGAAACTATTTTTTTCATTGTAGCGCCATCTTTCTGTATATGAACCACACATAGCCCACAATTCCTCCACTCGCTTGGATGAAGGGCTTACGCTCGAAATGCTCGAATCCCAATACAAGTGATAAAATCAAATGATCTTGTAATAACCCCCGCAGACACAGCACCACAGTTTCTTTTTCTCTCTAGAAACAGTCAGTCTCCTTCGCGCTTTCGCCTTCGCAGCCACTCTTTGGATTGTCAGGCAAGGTTTACTACATAAGAAGCGTAGGGCGGGTGGGCATTAGACAAACGGCACGCGCGGTTGTCCCACAAACGCTGACCCCACCATTTTATTTTCGCACACTCGCTTTTTCGACCAAGAGTCTTACACAGTGTACTTCAAACGAAAGAAAGTAACCACAGCTGCCAATCAGAACAAGGTAA